ACGGACTGCGACTGCACGAGCTTCTTTATGCTCTTCGTGTTTCCAAACTCTCTTTCATCTCTCGAACGGAGACGCGACAGGATTACGAATGAAGTACGGCGCCTCGGCTCCGATGGTTGGTAACGAAAAATGAGGAAAAATGAAAAAAGAATAAGGTTAGAAAGAGCCTGGCAGGTACGTGATATTTTAATGAAAAATTGTGGCCCTATCGATTTTTTATTTTTTTATTTTATTCAGACTGATTTTCGTAAGGGTGCCATATGGGGGCTGGGGTTAATGGCCTTTAATATTTTTTCGATGAATTTAAAAATAATTATTTTCTTTGAAATTATTCGTCACTTCTTGGACTCACGACACTCTATGCCCTGATAAGAGGCCTCCGAGTCAACCTTAGTCTCGTTTGTAGCTATGTATTTCGGAGGTGCTTACTCATCCGAGAGGCATCCGATCGTCCGGGACGATCTATCTCGATCCAAGGTAAAAATTGTACTCCCGAGGGATCCTGAATTTATCGAGTGGAAAATAATACTGGGTTTTTCACGATTTTACGTAACTGATGGATTTTCAACGTACATTGCGGAAGACCGGGTAGGCATTGCTGATAAGAATAACTCAGAGGTACAACGAAATATGGAGGTTTACGGTTTACGATTATCTATTGTTATGATTAATGTGATGATTATTTATAGATAAGTGTATTACACGTGATTATCGCAAGTTCAACGTAAATTTATCCCGTTGAGGAAATCGTATAGGTTATGTTTCTCTGTTTCAATTTGATTGGAGGGGGAATTGAACCTTGCATGCGTGGGATGCATTAATGATCACGATCACATATGCTACGAAGTCGGCACCCTGCGGCAGATCGCTGATGGGGATATAATGGGGGACTAGGTCGGTGCCTGGGCACAGGTATATTTACACATGTCCAAGGGGACATCTGTCACGTGAAAACCGGGTACAACGTACCCGGTTTAACCGATCGGTATGGTGTCGTATGTTTATACGAATTTTTATCGTACCAATTACATATGCCTGGATAATCGTTTGCTCAGATGTACAGATCCGCATAATTTTGAGATAGCATCGGTAGGCCAGTGGCCTTGCAATCTTATAGATTTTGTTATTGGAAATTTTTTTTGTATGGAGAGAGGTGGAATTCAGAAAATGATTTTAAAAATATGCAAAAATTTTTATCTACTCAGTCCCTGGTCGATTTTGATAAGCCCCGAGTGATCAATTCGATCAGGCATTACATCGAGTAACTCGTCTCGGAACAACCCATGGAATCGATCGCTGTGTCGATCGAGAAAATATAAAAATTTTCTCATTTTGTATCTTTGCTGCGAGTGCGAGCGAGAGATACTTATGGGCGATTGCATGAGTCGGAGAGAGACACACGCATTGATTTCTTAATTCGCGAGTAGTATCCTCTTTAAATTCTCAGCGACGCTTCGCGTGTCGAAATTTATTTTTGCCAAAATTCTTATCTATTCCATACTGATTTATTTCGATGTCCCGAATTAATTATTATTTTGATAACGAATGAAATTTGTTCTGACGGGTCTTACTGCAACTACGCTAAGACTCTATCCACGTGGGACGTACTGTCAGTTCGTATGCGACTCTCGTACTCGTATCCTCCCCTATTCACATATCCGCATACTCCACCATTCTATCGCGCGGTCGTACACGCGTTACGTCAGACTTATGTAGGTACAGCATAGGAGTATATAAATTCCTACTATACGCATCAGCGTACCAGAGTTCACCGAGTGCGCTGTCTACGGCAACACGTATCAGGCTAATTCAAACTTTCGCCAAAGCCGCAAAACGTTGTGAGACACGAGCGATACCATCAGCGATAATGAGGTTCCTTTAGGCGAGGAAAAAGCGAATCGTATTCCATGTCGGTGGTTTAGGTGATTAGAAAAATATTTATGGGTAAGAAAAAAAAAAGACGTCAACGATACACGCGCTCGTGGTTATCATAGGTGATCATGCACCGTGTATAAAAATTTGAGTGGCTTGATTTTTTTTATGATAAAATTTATTACCGCAGCGAAAGATACAGAGGATCTTCTTTTCACCAAGATTCGTTTTATCTCCCTGGAAAGTTTGGACCATGTGCCCAACCGGATGGACCAATAGTAAACGTCACTGATCAAACATGGGCGAGGACTCCTCCGGGCAAACAAGAGCGATCTAATCGCTCTGAGTTACGTTATCGGTAACGTGGCTGTATCTCTGAGAATTATAAATGCTCCAGCATGACAATGATTTCTTACGTAATAAGGATTGACCTGTGGCTCGAAACAATTGCGAATCGAAGATCAAGGCCAAATCGTCCCGTTTGAAATTGTCATATTTCTTGTTTTTCACGGTCGATTACCGTAAAGCGATTAAAGGACGATTCACACCGAAAAAAATTTTCTTCACTTTGCACACCTGTCTTGTTTCGAGATTAGATGGAGCTATATGATTATGTGAAACTTAAAAAAAAAAATCCTGTGTGAACGCCCCTTAACCTTTAACACCATATCCTGCAGCATGGTAGGTAGAGAAGTTTCGAGGGAATAATACAATACCTCGTGAACGGTACTTATTGGCTGTCGTTATTCTCGAAATAAACAAGCTACCCGGTACGCTATAGCAAATAGTATCCCCGGGGTACGTTTTCACTTTCTTGGAATTTTCGGAGCCTCCTTTTTCACGCACGTATAATGAAACGAAGGCGTGTCAAAGTTGTTGGCCAATTCGAGATCGGTAATGTTAAAGACCTTTGTTAACGTCCGATTGGTTTATCGTGCTTACCGCCTGAAAACGATCTCAAAAGATTTTATACCGGGTGGCTATATTTACTTGGCATTCGGTGGCTACGGTCGCGAGGATACAAAGTTCTCGAAAATGATTTTTTCGGGTACACGAAAAACACTAGATTTTCGGTACTTTCCATCCTGATTAATATTTTCTGACTCATTCCAGAAAAGTTAGCAATCCGCTGCATTCCATTCTGGAAAATACTTTCTCGATCTTCCCGATAGTTTTCCTTCTGTGATTTTACAATCTCATCTTGCTCCGTGAAACGTAGGAGAAGCGCACTGTACTTCCGTGTTGTTTAATGCCTATAGATATACATTGCTTCCATAAACGAGCAAGATTAAAATTCATAGACAGGCACGAGTCCAGAGTAGTCCAGGACACAAACCGAACGTCCGGTTCTTCGTAATATCCTCTTAACGAGTTACCGACCAATTAGTCAATGGCGTGTAATTATTTTAACCAGAGAAATCAGCAATCTGGGATACCAAAGTGAAACGGATAAATGGGAGAGAGAGAGATAGCATCGCGAAACTTAAAATGTCTCGACCGAAGTTAAACTCTTTGGCGCCTCGAATAATTTGCCAAGTGGATGAGGTCCTCGAAACAATGGATAACTCATAGGAGTAAGGTAATTTTCAACGTACCGTTCGTAAGAATCAAAGCTGATACGGGGGGTTAAAATTTGGTATGAAAAAAAAAAAAAGAATCAGGGTGACCAGGTAGTTCGCGAAACCGTTAAAAGTCAACTGTCCTTTTGGGATGTTGTCTGTCTTTTTTTTACAACATCTCCTAATGACGGCCAACAAGCCTGACCGTGGGTCTGGAGGAAGGTAGGGTAGAGCCTTTGCATCCCTTGAAATAGTGGTACTTTATACGCAGCAGCCTCTGTTGTCCCTGTGGTCCATTTCTTGGACTACCAAATGCCCAGGTCACTTTCAATTAACATAGAGCCACTCAGGTATCTAGAATTAACATAAAAGTCGTAGATCCCGTTCCTTTCATTCAATCTCTAAGCCCTTCCTTCCTGGGATCATTGTCTACCGTTGGCAGATGACTTCAGATGACTTCTGGATTTAGCCAACAGCACTGAAAGACAATGGCTATGATTCGTGCCAGGTAGCTGACCAGGGAATTGAAGTCGGACTTGGTATCTCGAGGTAGAATGGAATTGATCTGCGTATTAATGTGAGCAATATCAAAGTCCTGCAGCAATGTGGTGTGTGCTCAAGAATGGGAAGATTAGGTGATGGTAATTTTAGGTAATTAGGTACAGCTGCTATTTGTGCCTTCGCCAGGAATAAGAAATCCTGAAAGGCCATAAACCCCAGGGGCTAGCTGCTCCCGTTATGGTCATTATGGAAAATCACGTAGACAAACCCCAGACGAGAGTTTTCTCAGTCATCGATGTCGGCGGTATGTCCTACTTTTGTGAAAATTAGGTAAACATTTTTTTTTTCGCTTCTTTGAAAGTTACTTAGGCTTTTTGACACAAAAAATATATAGGACGGTTGACGTCGATCGGGCGATATTGCTGAAAAAAAAAAAAATACTTGTGCTTTTTCCTGTCGATATAAATAATATAACCGCGATGAGACCGACGAATCCTGTTTTGATAACGGAACGAAGATAAGGGTCGTGTCGAGCCGTTCCCTATTTTGCGGATGAGAAAACACTCGGAACAACGTAGTTTACTTCTTTGAAATATTTAATCTATCGATTACCGAGAGACTCTCCCGTCGAGTCGAGACGACAATTTTGTATATTTCGAAGAATCCATGTCTAGATCTTATAAAGTATATCGATTCTGGTCGAGAGTAAAAAGTATGAAAATTTGTAAAACCTGTACAAACTTAAATAAAAGGTTATCAAGTTGTTATCCTTACTTCTGGAATTCAAAGTGTAAGTTAAACCAATGATAAAAAAATAGCAGATTTAAAGAAACACTGATTATTCCGAGTACACGAGGAAGGGTAGTGCTGTCCCGTAAAGAGTGACGATGTATCCGCGTTAAGAATATAAAAAGCATGGCAGTAGGTATTTTAGATAAAAGAAAAATGAATAAAAGAGAGAAAGCCCAAAGAGATATAAAGAAAATACGAAGATGAACGAAGATGAACGAACGGACTTGAAGGGGAACGCGTAGCGCGAAGGGTGGGGGTGTAAGTGTGCCCGTAGGTGGATGGTAGGTGGTAGCCAGGTAGTGGGGAATATTTCAGTAGTGGGGATTTGCTCCGTTAGAGAGGAACAGCAGCAGCAGCAGCAGCAGGGCGAGTGAACTAAAAGGGTGGGGATTTCCCAGCCGAGAGACAAATAGGAGGGAGATGAGGCAGCCAGCCAGCCAGCCAGCCAGCCAGCCGGACAGGTTCAGAGAAATTGTCAGAAGCGGCAAAGAGTCACTTCTCCGCGGTGAGTCGGTCGCGAGAGACCCGCTCTCGGCTCGATCTCGTCTCTGTCAATATTCAATCGATGGTCGGCAAGATCGGTGCGCCGTGTGTATACCGTGTAAGGTGCCACTTGTGATTGGAAGAAAGAAGACTGTCGTGATTACTGTATCCCAAGACCGAATCCAGTTGAGGCCGGTCGCCATTGAACTCGCTCAGTTATATTCACGGACGTAAAAGACGCACAACGACGCACGATTCACATAAATTGTGAATCCCCAGAGCATCGTCGATGAATAAAAAAGTCGAGGAAGACTCGTGGCTGCACAGTGGAATCGCCTACTTGGTGCGATAGCTACAACGCGTGCTTTGACTCTGCCGTGGCCGGTTTACCCTGTCAAAGAGTGGATCTGGTGACTAGTGTGGTGTTACGTCGTTTGTTTTGGATTTTAAGTCGGACGTCGACAAGCTGCTTTCATGACTTGAGCAATACTACGACATGGATTACTCTTCGAAAGGTATGTCCGACTCTACCGATTTCGACAGTCCCTTTGTATACGCGATTGCGTTGCTCACTCCCGAAATGCATTGCGCGTTCGATCGAAATAATTTAGACGAGTATTTGAGAAAAATGCATAAATCAAGTTAATCTTTGACTTCTTGTCTGCAACGTAGATACATTGATGTCTATCTACACTACCTTGGTGTAATCTTTCCTTGGGACAGAAGCTAGACGAAAGAAATCAATCTCTCTGGTAACGATAACAACAATAAGACATTCTGACACCATCCGCCATCTTCGTTTCTCTATCCACCGTTTATCATCCACGTATCCTGAAATCAATTTTGAAATAAATAATTCCAACGTTATTGCCAACTGTTCCAAGTATCCAAAGACATTCGTGTCTCATCTGTGCTTCCCTATGGACCCCTGTCAAAGGTCACGGGTCTTTGCCTCATCTGAATATAACGAACGGGAATCGTGAATTGCCTTGTAACAATAATAAATCCAATGACAGAAAGTGAATACAAGTATCTCTTAGGTAGCCTTATAATTATACACTTTTTTTTCCTGGTAAAATCAAGAAAAATAAGGAATTATACCGAGGAGGAGACGTGTATGCATCCAGACCAGTGACGTGTCTAAATTCTAATCTCCTAACGGTTATTGGGAGAGAAGCAAACAGTAGCCGGAGTCCACTTAGATAAGGACCTTTTGTGCTCCCTTTTATCTAAACGGTGTCGAAATATTTTCGTAAAAGTCCGCTCTAGACTGCCGGTGTTACACGGAGAAATGTTTTTCCATCGTTTGAGATAACGTCTTTCTCCTTCGGGATGCCGTTGCAAGCTCGTAGCTATACATATAAATATACACTATAATTTTACCCGTACCTGCGTCCCTCTGACAGCATGTGTCTGGATGCATCGAGTGATGCACTCTGTGATCTGGACCAATCGTAGGATGACTTTTTAAATGATACGTATAAATATTAACGTGATATATTTATATATACTCACGATTAACACGAGGGACACGCACGTGCTTCTTTTACATACGATATACGTACAGGCGCGCCGGTGCACCGTCACTTGATGCACTTCTTATGCACCTTTTACTACTGGCTTACACACCGCGAGATGACCTTTCTCACGCGCCGAGCTTTCTGCTTTGCTCCTTGTTCCTGGAAAGGACCGTGTATTTTATATATATTTTTTATATAGATTTGAATCATTCGATCTCGATGACGCACAATTATCAGAAGATAATCGATTTTCGTTTATTCCACGACGTGTGTGCCAATTGATTAGAGTGCGAAGTTCATTCAGCGTTGCTTTGAATGATCAGTATGTAAGCTCGAAAGATTTGTCGAAAGACCATTAAACAGTGTTACAGTATATTAAAAGATAGTAATAGCCAAAATAAAGTTTTATTTATATTTCAAATGTCTGCTGTACCCTGATTGAAATAGCAGCCAGATTTTAATATTTCCAGAATACACACATTTCCACCGTACACGTATATGGCGTAAGGGTGAGGAAGGGGTGGTTGTACGGTTAAATCGGTGAAAGTAGAATTAGGGCGTGGCATGGAGCCAACCGCTCCCTTTCAGTGGCGCCGGAGTAACCCCTAACCTCTAACAGATTAGCTCATGACGCACCTATTAACGCCTGTACATCCCCAATTGGCAAAATGCGCAAATGTACGAGTTGCACGAAAGGATTCCGAAGGGTAAAGCACAGGGCGGCAAACTAATCGAGCAGCTGCAAATAATTATTAGTGATTTCGTGAGCTAAATTTCGCAGCGACGTTTGTTACAAGGGATAACAAAAAATGTCCATGCAAAATTCCCAAAATACAGAATTTACAATGAATTCGAATCGGTTGCCAGAGAAGCTAAAGCAAAACCGACAAAACTTGCTCTCTAACTCCCCCCAGTTCCTTCTACCCGTAATAGCAGCTGATCTATCATACATAGAGGCCTCCTACACGGCTGTGGGATAATTTTCTTATAGATCAACGCGGACCTCTAGGTACATGCGGAGACACACGGTTGGGCCACGTATACCGATAATCTCTGTTCTCAATGGCTGAACTAGCCCAAGTCATAAATAATATTGCCATACACCAAGCCGGGATATACGTCGAACAGAGTCTAGCGTTTCCTGTACCCTTCGTCACCTTGGGTGCTCCACATAAGCAGCCAAAGGTAGCTCGGAGTTGCTTGTACGAAAATAAACAACCAACTTGAGCAGACACAATGGATGCACTGCCATTTGTATAGCCCGTCCTGGTGACTCCTTATTAGTAACTAACGCGTATACCTTGGAGTCCTGCCAAGGCTACGGCGACCCAGGCACATGAGCGCGCTTCCATATACCTATATAGGCCCAGACCCAGGTACCAGTAGGTGTACGTGGCTATTAGGCTCAAGGGTGGCTAGGGGTTACGGCTGGGTAAGTCCAGGGTTACCAAGGCAACAGCTCTCGAAACACGCTAACCGAACCGCCATCTTTGGTTCTCTCCTGCGGCGCGTGGGAGTACCGGTCGCCGCACGAGAGCCAGGGACACTAACACGGAAAGTAGCCGCGAGAGGGAACGAGCTGAGGAGAAACACGAGAGATGGCGCGAGCGCTATTGGGTGGTGGGGTCGCGTCGGACGCGCCGAATGGTGGGGATCGACCGAGGGCAGAAAAACGAGATAAAAGCTTCGAGATGAGGTACGGCCAATACGTTCGCTCGGTAACGCCTCTAACTTTCCACCAATCTGTTACAGCGCAGCATCCTACGCAACGTCGCTTATGTACACGTTTAACCGTCTATGCTTACGCCCATGGGAACTTCCCACTTTTACTTACGTAGGTTAGGATATATACCTGTGCCTCCTTGCCTACGTTCATGGACCATGCCCGCATCAGAGGTCGTAGCACCCGTTTCTTCTGACGAATACAATTATCCGTATGAATCGTATCGATCGGTGCTCCCGCATATTCTCCCCAGGTACATCCTCGATGCCTGGATATTATTAGTCGGGATCTTTTTCTTTTCATCTTATCATAGTACACAACCGGAGATAGGACCTTTCATATCGTTCGTCCATTATCTTCTTAGCTGATATATTATTGTCCACTTGTTATTCCATATGCGGTATACGTCACGTCTAAGCGCCACTCTCTATGACTTTACATCTCGTGACAAAACCTGTTTCCCCTGACACAATCGTGCCTGGCGTACGCATGATTTACCTGAACGAGACAGTCACCTGCTTGCCATTCGTAACTCCCGCGAAACCCAAATGTCGACGGTGTCCATTGTTACCCAATGGGCACCTTGCCGCGTGCGCCCAGCGTTCTAGTAACTGTATGCCGTACCCTACTGTCTTTTGTATAGTCTGTTCGAGCTAACGTACGCAGGTATAGGAAGTACGCGTAAAGTACGCGCTCAACGCTACGAAGACTCCTATCACGGACGTTCGGCTGTCCCGACGTCTTACGCCTTCGGCTTTTCTTCTACGCTGTTAATGTTTTGAACGAGTCGAGACGCTTGGCTGTTGCTCTGTGAAAAATTTTTACGAGATAAAGATCGATATCTTAACCTCCGTGATTCATTTGTTATTGAAAATCTGCCGATGGGCAGACGATGGCTGATGGGATGCCTACGTGTTCGTGTCTATGCATATTCACTCTTTGTATCGATCTAGACAGGAGGAACGCGTGATAATAAACCCGAGATGTTTTGTCTACCTTCATGACGAGGGCGGATCGATAATGAGATTAACGATGCGATATCGGCTGCCTGGCTGTGTCGTTGCGACGCGCCGTCGGCTCACCTTGCTTATTGAAAATCACGAGAAATCTCTCACGCCCGTACGCGTCTGCATACCGAGTCGATAATCTTGTATACGTTGCGAAAGGTCCGTACGAACCTTTACAGCCAATGGACGGTAACGTCTTAAAAAATTGCCAAGTGCTCTCGATCCAAAGCAAAGAAATTTTATCGCTGGAAAATTGCGCCTATCTTTTACACTTGGCCATCGGCAGCTAAGTGATTCACTCGTTTCCTACGTACATGTGTATGGTATATACATATGTATGTCATCTCGTCACCAATTTTTTTTTTTCTTTCGACAGTCCTTATCTCACCAAGATTCTTCCCGAAAAAATCGTTCGTGAACAAGTGTCTTATGTATTTATTGGTACTCGAAAAACGTGAATTTTTAATTTTTGTATGAAAAAAATTTTTTTCCCCTTTTTGTAACTTTTCAAGGAAGTTCTCGTTTCCTACGTATGACCAGTCCCTCATCTGTTGGCGCAAGACGCAGGCAAGTCGCACGCTTGATACGTAATGTGAGCGTAAGAGAAACCGCATATGCGGTCAGAACGACGCCCGAGGTCCTTGATAAATGTTATTGTCCCGGCTGCTACATCCCCGGTCCGGTTTGTATTAACTTCCGGAACACGTCAGATCTCGCTGCCTTTTACTGTCGTTTGCCTTCTATCTTTGTTATCTTCTTCTTCTACCTTTCTCGCGTCGCTACGACCGATTACTAGTCGCCGCTGGCACACTAATTTCCGATCTCCTTATTTATCGCATCCGCTTTTTTCCTCGACGCACAGTTTTTACTTATTCCTCGTATACGCGTCCCTTGGGACTTTCCTGACGTTTGAAATACATACGTGGGACGTTACGTGATCACGCCACCAACGATTCTCGCTAACGACGCATCATCGAGACGTCGACTTGAAATTTTAGGCGCACGCGTATGTATACATGCACGTATCTACGCTTACGCTTATTGTTCACATTGATAACGATCGCTCTTACCGGCGATGACTAATTACTTTTGTGAACGTCTCAAGTCTCCCTTTAATCGTGTGTCGATGGGATTGAACGATCGGTTTGAATTGTGGAAGAACAAAAAGAAAGCGCTAATACAGCGACAACTATTGGAAGCTCAATGGAAACTGGATGTCAATGTTTAAAAATTCTATCGAACAATCTTTTTGTGAACGTACCTTAATGTCAATACGAGTGATCACTATGTAGGTTGACTTAGCAGAGTTTATCCTTAACACGAGGCGGCGTTCTTCGTAATCGATGCTACTCCGTTGTCGGAATTAAAACGTGTATGCGGGATCGTTCAACTCGACGTTGGGTAACTGCCGACGATTAACTTCTAACTGTGGAACAGGGCGACTCGAGAAAGCTTATTCGTGTACATAAGCACTGAGATTGGGAACACATGGCGCTTCGAACAGGTGACGCCATTTTCACCCTCTCGAATCGAAGCTCGCTTCGAGAGCGAATCATTCGATATTTATCGATATTCGTGACATCGATTACGTCATTGTCGGTACGACGTCAATAATGCATCTCGAGTCGTCGTAATTTAACCGTAGGATTTAATGTCATCCTACGTCAAGTGTTTTCGAATAAACATGCCCGATAACGAGGAAGGAAAGAATCGTTGGATTCGTAAGGGGGGTGGGGCGGGGGGAGGGAGGAAACATTGGCGGAGGACTACGGCGCATTCCTGGGAAATTGTAACAGACGACAAAGACGTCCCGTCGCGTCAGGCACGGAACGCGTCAGCACTCGAGACAGTACGCTTGGCAGCTTCGCCGGCGAAGCTTCGTTATCTCAGGGAATGTTTAGTCATTGACATCTCGCACAATCTAAACCCTAGCTCATCCGGCTGCTCTTGCTGATAAGGCTGGATTTAACGACGGAGTTGGATAGATATCCAGCGTCTCTTCGTACGTGAACATTAAGTGTTGTTCGGTTGTGTCTATTGTTCGTGAATCCGTATAGTTACGTTTGTACGGTGCACCAGTGAGTTTCGTTATTTACTGAAATCTCGAGTTCACGATGTTTCCGGGATAATTATTGTTCTTTTTATAGTACAATGTGCGGTTTTGTAATTACAGTGACCGCTGACAGTGGACCGGATCAACGACAGACCAGCGAGACTCAAACGGATGCTGGATCTTCGCCATTGGTAAGTAGTCGTGTAGATGTATTATATTGCTTAGAGCTTGTATAAGTTGTAGGAATTTCTTTCAAATTTTATTTAACGAGAATGAAGATTTATCGGGAGTTTTTTTTCTCGGGTTTTTTTAAGGTCGAGCATCCGGAAGGAACGTATCCTTGTCCTGCATGCCCTACAGTACTCTCGACCTCCAGGGAACTAACGAATCATCTACGTGGTCACAATTCACCACGCAGCACGGACTGCAGCGGCGAGGAGGACTATTCCTGCGGGGTCTGTCACAAAGTTCTTAGCTCTGCCAGTTCTCTCGATCGGCACGTGCTCGTTCACTCCGGCGAAAGACCGTTCAAGTGCAAATACTGCGACATGGCCTTCACCACCAATGGAAATATGAACAGACACCTCAGGACGGCACATCGCGCTCTCTCGCCTCATAGTTGCACGGATTCCGAAGGGAGCAGCGATTCGGAAAAGCCTGTTAAGAGACGTCGCATCGAAGAGTACAATAACAACGAGATTGCCAAACGCAATTCTCCGGATCTCATTGAGAAACATAAATCTCCCAGCATGACCATTAACAAGAGGAAGTCGTTGGATTCAACGGATGAGGTTGAGTCATTGCGCAGGCACAAGATACTCTTGAACAGTTCCAGAACTGAGACCAAGAGCAACGTCTACGAGGACACGGCTGTTCACAATTGTCAAGTGTGCGGAAAACAGGATTTCGCCACTGCTGGTCTTCTGGAGGCTCATCTCGAGCGTAACCATCCTGAGGTGTCAGCGAAATGCGATATGTGCGAACTCTCGTTCAAGAATCATCGCGTGCTCAATCATCATCGGTTCATGACACACTTTAACGACAATTCGATTAACAATAGTTCACGGAACCTCAGGAACTCTGTGGTAGGTTTCGATGATTTGACATTCGTCGATTTCTCCGCTGACAAATTCCCGGCGATCGCCAGGGCCGTTTGCGAACAGTCCGTTCATAGGCCAGCTTCCGGGGAAGTTACCAGATTCCAATGCGCCAAATGTCTCAGGGCCTTCCCTTGCAGGTCGGCCCTGGAGGCGCACGAGTCTGACTGTGGGATACCGAATTCCCAGAGCAGAACCCATGGCGAGGATCAGTCTAGGAGGGACAACTTCTTTGCTGGTCTTGATCTTCAAAACAAGGCTGCTCTCGTCGAAGCCAAGGAAGGCAAGGATCTGGCTGACATACAGAGCATCATTTCCATGACCTCTGGACCCATTCTACAGAACTTTCCTAGGTCCGACGCCAGCACACCGGATAACAGTATCAAGATCAATCCCAACCTTGGATCCTCCGGTTCATCCGGCACACCCTCCTCCGAGTACCACGAGGAAGAAGCACAGGACGCCTTCGCGGCTGAGTTCAGGAAGATGAAACTCAAAGGAGAATTTCCATGCAGACTTTGCACCGCAATATTTCCAAATCTTCGTGCTCTTAAGGGTCATAACCGGGCGCATATGAATGTCGGTCCAGGTATGCCCTATCCATGTAACATGTGCCCGTACACGAGCACCGATAAAGCTACCCTCATCAGACATTTAAGGTCGCACAATGGCGATAGACCTTACGAGTGCTCTCTGTGTAACTATGCTTTCACGACCAAGGCCAACTGTGAAAGACACGTTCGCAATCGTCATGGCAAGCTCACCCGCGAGGATATTAAGAGCGTTCTGATATATCATCCCAACGAAGACTCCACAAACGACACCGTCGACCGCACGTCTCCCAGAGCCATCTCTAGGGAGGATGCTCGTAAAACTCTAGTCTATCACAGCGAACGTGACGAAGGCATCCATCAGCATCATCATTACTCTACGTTATCCATGCCCACTGAGCCTAAGTCTGAAATCCGAGTGATCGAGGAGGCCAAGCTTCGTCAGCCGGGAATACCCTCGCTGTTCGCCGTTAATCACTACGAAAATTCGGAATTCTTCTCTAGGCCAACGAGCATCCAATCCATGGAACTCGGAAGGCATTCCGAGGAGCCGGAGAAGGGTCAGGAACTGTTAGGAAAGCACAGTTACTCGAAGGACGATGAAGACGATCAAGACACCAGGTCGTCGGATGAAAGCGTGTCTCTAGTCAGCGAAACCAAATCCGAGCTGCACCAAAGAAATCAGGATGGTCCTATCGACTTGAAAAAGAGTATGGGAGACTCCGGAAACGTGGTAGATTCCGGAGTCGAAGAAGCTCCCCTTGATCTCTCCATGGATGCCCTTGATCTCAGAAAAAGATCCAGGAGCAACGAAGCCGATCAGCCTAGTTCGTCCGAAGACTACTCCAGGAATCCAAAGGACTTCTATAACGCTACGAATCAACTTTTATTGACCCAAGCTCTTCTCAAGGCCGGACAGGCTGGGACTCAGCCTAACTCCTTGGAAGCTCTATATGCAAACGCTCATCTGATTTATCGAAATTTTGGCACTTTCCCACCAGGTACCGGCCTGATACCGCCTTATCTTCTTAACCCGCATTTATTTGGCCATGATTTTGCCATGAAGGACAGAATCCAAAAGGAACTGGTACGAGGCCTCCAGCTCACCAGTGGTGGAACTCTCGTGGAACCATCCGGATTCGTCTCAAACTTTCCTCAAGGACGTGAATTATCAGCGCATACAGCTACTGACCAAACCGATTACTCCAAACTAATTTCATCCCAGCTGAATAACAAGGTCTCGGTGCCACGCGAGAAGTTAGAAAACTCTCCCAGCTCGAATTCTGTCAAGATGGTGATAAAGAATGGAGTCCTCATGCCAAAACAGAAGCAGAGGCGATACAGAACCGAGCGACCGTTCACCTGCGAACACTGCTCGGCCAGGTTCACCCTCAGGAGTAACATGGAAAGACATATTAAGCAACAGCATCCTCAACACTGGAGCCAAAGACCACGAGGTGGTCATTCCACGAGAGGTCGACCTCCAGCGAATCCTCCGACCTTGTTACAAAATCTTGGACAGTCCAGCATGTCCCAGCAGGTGCAACAGCAATATCAAAACATATTACCAAAGATGGGACAGAATGTGAGTTCCGAGTACGGAAAGCACGCTATTTCCGATCAAGTGAAGTACGCCATACTAGCACAACAGTTGAAAGGTAACAGAGTAGAGGAAAATGACACCGACGAGGAGCTGATCATCGACGAAGGTCCAACCGGAAGAGAAACACCGGATGCCCATCGTGAGAGTGAACAGCAGCCTACCAGTCTACTCAGAGGCAAACTGGAGAATCGTTCCGAGCTCAATAAGGACCAGTTAAGCATCCTCAGCGAACACGTTAACGAATTCGCAAAGGAATGTTCAGATCAGTCTCAGAACAACGAAGAAGACGACGAGCACGATGCCAAGGGCAAAATAAAGTCTGAAATAAACGAGTCCAAGCCGGAAGTTGAGACTAACGCGGATGACGATGATCTAATGTCCGAGAACAGTCTGGTGAAGTCAGAAATGCCAGATGACATGGGAAAGAGAAGCGAATCGTCACGAGAGGACGAAAACGAAAGAACCGAGGATGGAACTGTTGATCTTGCTAGTGTTTCCAAGCTGCTGGACAATGCCTCCCAACAGTATCAACAGTTTCAACCTCAGTATCTTAGCGACGAGGAAGGTCTCGTTGCTTCTACGAGCGACTGCAACAATTCGGGTAGCGACGAGAAATCCGATTCCGGAAATTCAGTTAATTCCGGAACATCGAGCTCGTCCAAGAAGAAGAAGAAAAAGAAGAAGAAGAAGAAATCTGCATACTCGATGGCGCCGAACAGAGTGATCTGTCCTTATTGCGAGAGGCCGTTCCCATGGACGTCCTCCCTGAGGAGACACATTCTCACTCACACCGGACAGAAGCCTTATCAATGTATACATTGCTCCCTTCTATTCACGACAAAGTCAAACTGCGATCGTCATCTTTTACGAAAGCACAAGACCAATCCCCACAAGATTCGTCGAGCAAGAAACTCATCGTCCCCGGAAGCGACAAATATACCAGCAAACAGCAATAGCTTCTCAATGAGAAACGTCCCGGAGAGACCCTACAAGTGCAACCAATGTCCAAGCTCTACCTTCTCCACTCTGGGAAACTTGAAGAAGCACCGATCGACGAAGCACATAGATAAAAAAAATAAATCCAGGTGCAACACGCCGTTGAGCGAATCCCAAAACAGTCCGCAGAGTTCGGGGAAGCATAACGATCAGAGTGGATACGAGAGTCAGTCCTCGAGTATATCTGAAAACATGCAAAATTCGCCACAGAACGTCCCCGTTATCAAATTGACAACCAGTACGACCTCCTCCTCGATCAACGACGCGTCCCGTTCACGAAAAACTTCTCCAAGATCCTCACCAGGACCCGCCGAAGCGCCTTTCAAGTGTCACCTGTGCGACAGCGGCTTCGCGGAGCGCCAAGATTGCCTTGAGCACATCAAGGACAATCACAAAAGGTCCTACGAGATGTTGGTGGCCAAGGGTGCGCTGGACATGGATATAGAAGCAGCAGAGGATCAGCAACAACCTCTGGTACATCAGCAGGCGAGCGACGGTGAAGAGAAACGGGGAAAATTTCCTGACTACAGTAATAGAAAGGTGAGTCGAGTAATTCACCTGTTAGCTCATCAATATTATTACACGAAATCATGTAAATGCAATTAAAAATACTTCTAGAAGAATCCTGAAACGTGAGAAGATGATAAACCGATGTTTGTGCTTTCAGGTAGTTTGTGCGTTCTGCATGCGCAGATTTTGGTCTGCAGAGGATCTTCGTCGTCACATGAGAACTCATACCGGGGAGAGGCCATTTTCTTGCGACATTTGCTGTCGCCGCTTCACTCTAAAACACAGCATGCTGAGACATAGGAAGAAGCACGAATCTGTCGACTCTCCTATGTACGTGGGCACGAGCGGAGATGAAGAATCCGTAGCGAGTCAACCACCCACGATCACACCGAGAAGTCAGCAGCATCCAGCACTCGTAATGTCCTCGACGAGTGATAACAGATTGCGAGAGCGCGTATCTCTACCCACTGTGGAGGCGGCTGTAGCTACAGCAGACGCTGCTCCCAGTGGTCTCATGAGGTACAACGCATACGAGAACCTCACTACTCTGACTGGACAGCTGACTACCGTACAACAAAGTGGAAATCTGGATGTTCCGGAAAATTCAGAGAACGATCTTATCTCGAATCTCCTTGGTATTCGCGATAAGAGCATTATAGACAGAGTGCTTCAGGCATCAGCTGACGACGCGGCCAAACTGCTCGGAGTCAAAAGAAACTAAAATCCAAATAGTATAAGAGTAGCATCCATCGAGTGGATTGGATATCCAAATGAATAATGTAATATCCAATCCACTCGATGTAACAAGGATAAAAGTATTATTATGGACAGGGTGCTCTAAGCATCAGCCGATAGTATAGCCAAACTCCTTGGTGTCAAAAGGAACTGAGGCCCAGGTAGCACAAGGATGCAGAAAATAAATTATTGCAAATTATATAAATAGATTATTACAAATTATATAAATATAGCATTAGGAGAGTTACGTGAATAAATGAATAAAATCACATACACGATTAAATTATTCGAAATATCCTGGGGATATTATAATATTAGACACGGTACGTCCTTGGGATGTTAAATGGACATCCATGGAACATCGGTTGTATTACGAAATGAGAAAATCAATAAGTGTAACATATCGCAGTACTTCTATTGAAGGTTATTTAAATATTCTTTAAAAAAAATAAAGAATTAATTTCTTAACTAAAAATGACGCTTTTATGATTCCTGTACACACGGTACATGTAGACCTTCAATAGCTTCTACGCATAAGAGTGATACGATATTTTCGATCTTTTTAAAAATTGTTCATTTCGAAATCACATAAAAAATCCGATGTCCCTTGGATATTACGGAGAATTACTGGCGACATATCTCTTTGTGATATCTGTTATCAGGTGTCCCTAGCATCACCTATAGACATCTTGATAAAGTATCTATTTCGGTATGCTCGTAGAAATTCTCAGGAATTACCAAATTGTATCCTGAGGATGTCCAGGGGACGTACGCAGGATATTCGAGGACTTTATACCTTGTGCTATCTTGGGAATGATTGGGATATCAAGAATTCAGCGTGTAATCAAAGGGTATAAAAACGTGAGGCTTTTGTAGTCTCATGTACGTTCACAATCGTGCCTTAATTATAAGCTTGACGTGTGAGAGATCCTAATAATTGAATGATTCATTAAAAAAATGATCAGAGGATGGCACGCGGTGCTCCTTCGGGATTTTAGGATTACTGTTTATCTTGACGGATACTGAGTGCATAGCATTGTCTCCCACGGGAAGATTCCTAAAATTAGAGAAAAAAAAACTTGCTACTTGTAGGACCATATTTGCAAGCCAAGCATGACAAACTGTTACTATATGAGAATCGTAATGGCTAAGCTAAGAGTAGCACATTTGAAAGACTCCTTCTTACTTATTACATTTTCGGTCCATGTATATATATATATATGCATACAGGGTGTTCCAGAAGTAGAACCAGCAATCAGTGTAAATTCATAAATAGCTAGTTTTTCAAGATATTAATAACCACGACCTTTGAGAGCTCTGCCGGATCAATAACAATCTTTTAGACTGTAGATTTTTGGGGCACCCTGTATATGCTTTATAATTCAGTACCTACAGCCTGAGGCCTCAATACGATGCGTCCTGTTTCAAGGAGATCATCTCCAGGAATTAGAAGAGTGATCTCTCTGATATGAAATGCATTGTGATTGGAGCATTTGGAGGCTTAAATTTCGAGGATATTTTATACTGTGAAATGAATCCGTTCTATTTCATTAATCATTTAATTTTAAAATCATCAACATCAATTATATTGCTATACTAAGCTGCAATACCAATTCCACATCCGGGGGGCCATTTACTTGTCATTAACAATACAGAGGAGTCCCCTGCTTGTGGAATTGACAAAGTAGCCATGACCTACAGACTTCGATCGCTACCTGCACTTTAGGTAAATAGATTCTTCGTCTCCGTCAGTTGGACCTACGTCATTCTCTTTATATATGCTTATGATTTTATATAATAAAAAAAGGGAATACGAGGAAACAAATAATTATAAAAATCTCTGTAAATGTATGTATAGGTAGTGTATATAGAATGTAAATGCATTTATGCATCGGTAAGCTATAGAGCTGCAGGTGTCTCAATGATAAATTAACGATATAATTATAATTATATAATTAGATATTTAAACGTAAGAAGCAACAAAAAGGGAAGACGCGTTAGAGGAAGAAGATAAAATTTACACGGGATCATTTGTTCACGACTATAATCGAGTTACGGCAATCAATCATACTTTAAGGGGGCCAACTTCTTGTGACATTTAATGCAAAGAAGTCCCCTCGATTTGAGTCTGATATCGTCGCTCGATCGTTATTGTGTATCTTTATCTCTGTTATGAGTCGCCACTTCGATGGGATTCTGAGTCCAAAGAAACGTTCAAGCAACGAATTAATGTAGCCATATTTACTTAATAAGTTATAGGTTATACACATTTCTGCCAATAAGTGCTGCGACACTTACTGGCCAGGAGTCAAAGTCGTAGTGTGACTGCCGCTAATCATCCCTCGTGTAAATCAACCCTTTAATTAGCAAATTATGCGAATGACACGTAAATCGCCACTACAATCTTCTTTTTTTTTTTGTATTTTTCTTTATTCTTTACCTCCATTCGCTGCTCTCTATTTCTGACACCTTCACTTTCCAATCAAGTATGCAATTAAATGGTTAATTGATAAGACGGTTGATTCCCATTGGTTTAATTGGTATTCGATAGGCGAATGCGAAATTAACGGTGATGCGAAGATAATTGCGCGATAAGCAAGAGCAATATATATATATATATATATATATATATATAATAAATGAAAAAAAATGAAAATAAGAATCGAAGAAGCCGAAGACAGTTAATTACGCTATTTAATTGATTTGCATTTTATCTAAGAAATTATTGTATATAAATATTGTAATTGTCGATAGTCTATGTTCATTTGAAATTGTCTAAAGAGAAACGATGATGATATTTAACGAAAATGCAATTATACCAAATAATTATCGATCCCAAGATCAACGGGACTCGATCAAGTGCTGTAAAACTTAAATAATTATTAACTTAAATGACTGTAGTTTAATAGAGATGTGAAACTTTTTAATCGGTCGTATACAAGCGTATATAACGGGTGTCTCAATTGGAAAGTACTTATCCAATGCGGCTACTTTATAGCCAGGTCACCCGGTATATGCATGTCTTTATTCCTCTTCAGATCTTTATATTCCTATCATATTTCCTAATTCTCTTTATCTAGGTGTATCTATTTCATTTAGTCTATTACCATTATTTCTATTCTCAGAGCGATTTAGTCGCGTCTAGAAATTCTTCTTCTCGTCTTCGGATCTATCACTCTGTCTATTGTTCTCTACGACTTGCTATATTTATTATTTTCCATTTTTCTTTTTATTTTAAAACAGTTGTACGCGAATACAACTACAAAAGAATTGGAATTGAGAACACTACTTATATAGTCTACTTTCCGTGTCGTTTCGATCATTGATCAATAGTGATATGACATACGCGACATATCATGCGCTATAAAATCATTGTTACCATTGCTACGAACATTGGTATACATATGTAAACGAAAGAAAACTATTTATTAAAAAAAAAAATAATTAAAGTTTGAATGTGGCTTGAGAACGAACTTTTCCTCGATTTAACTAGAAAGGGTAAACATGCGAAATAATCATTGTAACATGTGTGTAAATGATTGCATTGTATTCTCGTTTGACTTTTACCTAAGAATAAGAATATATATAAAATATAGGTAATGAAGAGTCAATCATTTTCTTTCCTGGGTATATCCTATCTCGTGCATTGGCATTTGTATATCGTTACGCCACAAAACTAAGTGGAGATATAGTATTAACGTTGAAAATTTTATTTAATATTCCACTTCCCAATAACATGTGAGACTCGAATGGGCTTTGAAGTGTGTTTTCCCACAACTTCATCCTTTATTATGTCACGCAGCATTCATTTATATCTCTCCTGTTTGGAGATTAATGGTAGAATGGTAAGATTCTGCTTATAAATGGATTTTTTATTGCTTTGAACACAAGCTCTATTAAAGAGTGAGAATTTCAGTGGCTCTTGATTCGAGAAGATTTTCCATTGAGTTTATATCCTTGCACCAGCCATCTAATCTTTGTACCATTCGGGATATTTGACTGCGGTCCAGTACTCGCGGTTGAACCCAGGTCATGTTGACAGTGCCAGCAACTTGGTCAATTGCTCCACGGATCAGTCCCTGGGCCAGTGCTTTCATCACAAGCAGTTCAACTTCACTAACTGGTAAACGTGTTTCTTTTGAAATTTCAGCAAAGGTCAATTGGCTGTATAGGAATGAGCAGTATATTACTAATAGTTGAATGTAAATATGAAGAAAAGTATCTCGAATAATTGTCAAATCATTTGAAAACATGAGGAAAAGATAAGTACCGATGGTTGGCTTGTCGCTTGAACGTCATCTCCATGAGACACAATAAAGATATCTTTTGTCTCAATTTCAATTCTTGAGCAGCCAAATCAGCAACTTTACTCCATTGCGGTTTTAATCTTTCTAACGCTGCTATATCGCCAGCATTAAATGCCTGAAGTACATCCACGAGCCAGGTGTTAGGTGTACCCTTTAGAGATTGTAACACAGGGTGAGCCAGAAGCTCTCCGAGATTGTAAACACCATCTCCAAGAAGAGCTGCTAGTCCAAGGAAAAATGCATGCTGCTCTTGTTCTTTCTTAGTTAAAGTACTCAAATCAATACATCCCAAATACCTACCAAAGAAAATAATAGTTATTAGTTTTGCTGTTTCCATAATAAACAATGGAATAAGAATGAAGATATAGTACACATGGGTCGATACTAACCTTAAAGCAGTGCGATAATATTCAGCATGTTTTCCTTGTAGTCTATATAGACGACTGGCTAAGAGATAAAATCTACCATGTACCGTGGTGATGCCATCGGCATTGTCAAGCATCACCTCAACATCTTCGATGATCTTCTTTGCTCTGTCCTGATCATTGAGTTTGTCAAGTAGGATCTGCCCCGTAAGTACTTTGCACAGAGCGACTGCTTCATTATTACCTTTTACTTTAGTTTCAGCCTTTTCTAAGAATTTAACTGCTTCTTGCTTGTCTTGAAATTGCAGGACAACATGTGCCAGTATTTCAACTAACGTCAATGGATTTATCCTGTACACCGTAAAAATTTCTTCATAAACAAAGGCAATACACATTGCCAGGAAACTTGCTCCAAACATTAAATTGTGAGGTTATGTATTTCAGTTGCTAAATCCAACGAAATTTCATACTCACTTATTCTCAAATGTAGACAAAAAATTGTTATACAATTGTACTAAATTATCTCCTTTTTGTAAAGTAGGATGCTTCACAAAAGTTTCCAGTTTAAGTGTCAACTGATGCCAAAGCCTGCAAAGTCACCGGGTTCAAAGAAACATGAATCACATTCTTGATATCGTTAACAATATGTAAGAATAAGAACTTTACTCACTTTTTGTTGTATAGTTCCTCCATCTGTGTCCACTCCGCAGACACTTCTTTGTCTGCGACATTTTGCATTTGATTGAAATATGTACTGACATCCTTAGGAGAAACAGCAGTCGCCATGTTTAACAACAATGACCAAGACTATTTTACAACGAAAATAATAGGACAGTCTACGCATGCTCATACAACCGGAAGCTCCATTTCCTCCAACAGTATGGCCAACAGAAAAATTATTATGATTTGATCCCTCTTCTACCAATCCAAATCGGATGAACAAGAAATAAAGCCACTATTCAAATATGGATGAAGCCTCTTAGATGATGAATTTTCGTAATTAACAATGCGTAATGGTACGTTGAAGAATTATTTTCTACCTAATAATACAATCATTTCTCATCCAACAGTATCACTTGATATCCGGCCGATATAAACAATAGAATACTTAAAAATTTTGAACTAGTTTAATAAATGGCAAATGTACCTTTAATTCCCCTTTGAATGGATTCCTTCACAGTCATAAATTTTCATAAATTATCATAAGACGTCATTGCTATCCCCAGAAAACATCATAATTTACACTTCTAAGAGATGAGCTTTAAGTAGAATTAACCAATCACCTTTAACCCTGTAAAGGGGTAAACCACTATGACTGATTAAGTCTCCTGAATTTTCGAGAGCTATGCTGAAGAATAGTGAGCCGAAAAGTTTGGTGCAAATATTCCACACCTTTTTGAAAGGTGATTACTAACTATTATTATAGTCAAAATAAACAAGCATACCTGATCCACTAGCAAACAGTAGCCCGAGAAAGGTTTCTAGTTCCGTGAATGTTCAAAACCAATTATTACACTTGACCATGTTTGATCACTTGATTCAATAAAATTAATCTTACACGAATTTTAAACAAAAATATCCTTTTTACTTACTATAAGTAAAACACCAATACATTATAAAAGCATTTGACACGAAACATGTTCCCTGATGTCACATTATCAATACTTTCTTTCCATCCTGAACTTGTATCTCTTAACTCAATTTAAAAAAGGCATACTTTTTCGCTGCGTTCACTCTTGCTATCACTGTGCAATCTGATATTCTATGAAACAGTAGAGTAATGAACGAACGAGACTTCAGATTCTAAAAATAACGTTATGACACAAATACGGGGGAGTCTCCAAATCACCAGTCCTGCAGGACTAAGACTCTTCGTCTGCTTCTAATAACCTCTAAACGAGCTACCGACCGACATATAATTATTTGTAGGAATAAGTTCTGAGTAGAAAATGAAGCGGATAAATGACACAAAGAGATAGTATCCTAATCTCAAGCTATCTACAGTCCCTAAACACTTTACAGTCGAAAATCCTTCGCTGAGTAACCACGAAGACACAAGTCTTTTCAGTTACGTCCAGTTTATAATAATCTAATAAAATCCAAAACTGTTTTAAATTTACCAATAGTTTCGTCAAATCGAATCGTTCAATATTTCTGAAACATGCAATTTATACTCTACTCAATATAAATACTACACGATGAAAGCAATGTCATTCGCTAATAATACCCGATAGCATTCTTCTGTCTCCGTCGGGCTCAGGTAGGTTATAAAGATAAAGTGAAATTCTCTGCCATAAACACTAAACACCATAATTCCAGAAACTCAATACCACCTTTCTTTTCCTTTTTCTAGGTAAATAAGACACCACATCTTCTGTCTGTACTTTTCTACAAACCATCCTGAGGTTCCCCCTAGCTGTGTACCCGTAATAAAAGGAGTTAGAAAATTTCCTGACGTCAGCAGTCCCAAGTGAGTAAGTCACAACAAAAGCTTTTTAATCCTCAGTTCAGTGTATTGTTAGATGATGTCCTAAACGAAAGTTTCACGGAGGTTTGTATGCTACTATGTCCAAAACAACAGGCAGTGAATAGATGCACAGAAAGGATGTTAAATAGACTTCATCCTTCTTCTAATATAAACACCTTGTACTATGTATTTTTCAGGACTTGGATTTCGTAAGTAAATTACACGTTAACTGGCGAGTAATGATATTTGAAATTATGTATATGGATGGTACAAAAATATCGGTCCTTCATACATACACAGGAGCTAGAATGCTGTAAACAAAACAGGTAATTCACAATACCGTTAAACGTCAACTATCTCCACGGATTTTGTCTCTGTTTTTTATGACACTTTTAACAACGGACAGTAAGCCTGACCATGGGTCTACAAAGGGAAGGACGTGGGTCTCCTTACGTCCCCTAACATATTGGTGCTGTATCCAGCAGCCCATGTCCTGATGGTCCATTTGTTGAATTCTCGAACGGCCAGGTCGTTTCCAATTAATGTAGAGGATGACTTAGGTATGTAAAATTAGCATAAGGGTTGTATACCCCATTGATGTTTCGTACAGTTGAGATACTAGCACCCTTAAATCCTCCGTTCATCCCCTCTTACAAGGATTGTTCTGCTGGTGGATGACTGTGGATGACTCCTGGATTTTTTTAATAGCACTGCAAGACAATTTTACGATTTGAATAAGGTAACTGAACATGATGTGGAATTTGACAGTAACATTGTGATAAAAAGGTTAGTTTGTGCATGAAGGTAGCGGTATGAAATTTGTCTGAGTAAGAAATAAGAGATTAGTCGAAGGTCACTTTGAGTAATTTGGTGCCGCTACTATTTGTGTTACAGTCCCACCCAAAAGTAAGAAATGTTAAAAACTCGTAAACACTGAGAGATAGTTTGTGTACCGTTATAGGAATTATAGATGTTGATAGAAGTAAATCCTAAAACGAAATTTGTCTATCTTCCATCAAATGTATTTGAGCTAATTACGAAGTTACATTTCATCTTTATTTATGCTTGGATTGTCATCTGTGTAACATAACCTTGCCGCGTGACCATGATGTCAGTGCACACTTGCAAGTTGAAATATGTCCAGTAAGTCATTTGAATCGATCCATCGGATCTCTTACACAATTGACATTTTTATTGTAATTTTTTATAAGTATTTTTAAATATTGTTAATTCTAGATAACGATTTTCAAAGATTTTCAGAATTCGCTGTATGCAGTATTAAGAAATATTTAAAAGATTGAATAAAGTTTCAACTGGAACAATGATTTATATTGGCATGGAAGTAATTACCTATAACCGTGAAATGAAATACAAAAAGGAAATAATAACAATTCTAAAATAAATAGCAAATAAAAAGGGACAGAAGTACGTAAAGAAGCCATAAAGAGAAATATAATAATGGCACAATGCACAAAAATATAAATTGTCCGATGGCAGGGGATGGTAGCATATCTACAGGTAGGCAGTGAGTTTTGCATCCTGATTTTGTGGGACGGTCTATAATATAGTAGGAGGGTTGTTACTTTCAAAAATAGCATAGCCGTGAGCCAATTGGTTCAAAGACTGGGAATTTCCGTGCTACGAAACGAATAGGCGGAAAATTTAGCAGACGATGTCGACAGGTTATGAAAACTTGCTGGAACCACCAGTGTCAGTTCTCTGCAGTGAGTCATTCGCTCGTGTCGTCTTTTAACATTCAATCGATTGTCGACAAGATCGGTGCGTCGTGCGTATACCGTGTAAGGTGCTACTTGTGATTGGAAAAAAGATTGTCGTGATTACTCTATTCCAAGACCGAATCCAGTTGAAGTCGGTTGCCATTGAACTCTCTCTGTTATATTCACGGACGTAAAAGTCGCACAACGACGCACGATTCACATAAATTGTGAATCCCCAGAGCATCGTCGATGAATAAAAAAGTCGAGGAAGACTCGTGGCTGCACAGTGGAATCGCGTACTTGGTGCGATAGCTACAACGCGTGCTTTGACTCTGCCGTGGCCGGTTTACCCTGTCAAAGAGTGTGGTGTTACGTCGTTTGTTTTGGATTTTAAGTCGAACGTCGACAAGCTACTTTCATGACTTGAGAAATACTACGACATGGATTACTCTTTGAAAGGTACGTTCGATTCTTCATTTATTTCAGCGATCTTAGGCTTACTCAAACAATTAAATTCAAAGTTGACGAGACTTTCATCATATAATTTCAGTAACAGACGTGATTAGAAAATATCTAACTCCTTACGAGCATATGTTTACCTTGAGTCCTGCAAATGCTACGCGATCCAGGCACATTCGCACGCTTCCATATATATCTATATAACCAGAATCAGGCACCAGTAGGTATACGTGACTATTAGATTCAAGGGTGGTTAGGGGTTATGGCAGGGTAAGCCAAGGTTACCAAGGCAACAGTTCTCGGCTCATGAAAACCAACCGCCATCTTTGCTTCTTTCCTGCGGCGCGTGGGAGTATCGCTCCTCGCAGAAGAGCAAGAGACACTAAGTGACGAGGGTGGCCGCGAGAGGGAACGAGCTAGGAGAAACACGAGAGTAGGCACGAGCGCGATTGGTGGTGGGGTTATGTCAGCCTGAATGGTGGGGATAGATGCAGGGCAGAAAAGAAGATAAAAGCTCCGAGATGAGGTCCCACCAATGCATTCGTTCAGTGCCGCCTTCAAATTGTTCCCACCAATCAGAATAGTGTCTCAAGATTTCTTGTAAAGAATATGATAAATGTTATAATGAAAAAGAATATAAACGAAGAGGACAAGCAAAGGGATTGGATGGTACTAGGAAATTGGTTGTTTAATTTTTATCTAAGTACCAGGGAGAATTGAGAAAAGTCTATTGTTATATTAATAAATTCACAATCGTAATGAGTAAGTAATATCACATTCCATCTTTGGCGTGAGAATAAAATTTCTAACTATTAATAGGTGGACAAAATTGTGAAGAATTTTTAGCAGGAATAAGAGTTAATGAGAAAACTCATTCTGACGTATGAAACACGACTCCCTTATCATACGAAATTAGTCATTGATTTGGTTTGTATTTTAAACTCTAGCTCAACCAACCATGTCTGATAAGACTATAGTAAAACCATTCAACGCGTTTTCAAATCCTAAGATCTGTATACTGTCGTGAAACAGATGAGAAAACGTCAGTCGCAATTGTTGTCGTTGAGGGATTAAGACATATTCTTTTATGATTACAGTGATCACCAAGAATGAATCGTGTCAGCAACAAAACAAGGAAGCGTATTTCATGTCATCATCATTGGTGAGTATACATTTATCATGGCAGCAGATGTGTTAGAGATAAAAGATTGTTTAGAATCATGAATACAATTGTTAAAATGATAATCTTCTATTTGACTATCTTTTAAAGTCTTTTTTCTATGGCTTTTAAGGTCGATCATCCTGAAGAAAGTCATCGCTGCCCTTCGTGTCCTGCCGCGCTCTCAAGCTTGAAGCTGCTCACATATCATCTTCGTAGTCATCATTCTCCACGCGGTACGCATTCTAGCGGCGAAGAGGATTATACTTGCGGCGTCTGTCATAAAGTGCTCAGTTCTGCAAGTTCACTGGATCGACACCTACTCGTTCATTCGGGTGAAAGGCCCTTTAAGTGTCAACACTGTGAGATGGCCTTTACTACCAATGGAAATATGAATAGACACCTAAGGACGGCACATGGGGTACAATCACTTCGTAGTTCTATAGATTCAGAGACGAGCAATGTATTAGAAAAGTCTACGAAAAGACGTCGTGTTGAACAGAACAATAATAATGAAGTTGTCGAACGTAATTCTTCGGAGCCAGTCAAGGAATATGAATGTCCCAGCTCGACTGTAATCATACGGAATTCATTAGGCTCTACGGATCAGCTTGAGACGCAATACAATCATGAAACTACTCGCACTGGTTTTGAATCTAATAATAACGAGAATATAGCTATTCGTAAGTGTCAGATATGCCACAGACAAGATTTTGCTAGCATGGCTCTTCTTGAAGCTCATCTTCAACACAATCATCCTGAAGTGCAACCCAAGTGCGAAATCTGTGACATCGTATTCAAGGATCATCGCGTGTCGCATCATCATTGGTTTTTAAGACATTTTCTTAAGAAAACAGTTACCAGCATTGTTAGAAATTTTCGAAATTCTTTGTCGCCACCAAACGATCTGTCCTTTTTCATCTCTTCAATAATTGATTTCTCCAGCAATACCGACTTATTTAGCGAAGAATCTCTTCCCATGGCATCTTCTGAGACAAATCCAATCTTTCAATGTTCCAAGTGTTCATGCAAGTTTCCTTGTGTAACTACACTACAAGCTGCCCAAGAAGCACATGAGCCTAACTGTGAAATATCAAATTCTGAAAATAGGAGCCAAAGTGAAAATCAATCTCAGAAAGCCGAGTTCCTTGATAATCTTAATCTTCAAAAAGGAGCTGATCATTTAAATGGCAAGACAACTAAAGATCCGTATGACTTCCAAAACTCCAGCATAGCAACGTCTGACCTAATTCCGCAAGACATCCTGAGGTCGAGTACCGAAACTCCAGATAACTTTATGAAGATTGATTCGAACGTTAGAACCTCTAGTTCATCCGGCGCATCCAGTTCGTCTTCTTCAGTATATCAGGAAGAAGTTCAAGACCCTTTTGCAGCTGATTTCAGAATAATGAAGTTCAAAGGAGAATTCCCATGTAGACTGTGCACCGAAACATTTTCAAATCTTCGAGCTCTCAAGTCTCACAACAGCGTGCACATGAACGTCGATCCAGGCGTTTCCTATTTTTGCAACATATGTCCGTACACGAATACTGAAAAAGTTGGTCTCATTAAACATTTAAGATCTCATAAGGGTGCCAGACCTTTTGAATGCTCTGTATGTAATTACGCCTTTACCACCAAGGCGAATTGCGAGCGACACATACGCAGTATCCATCCGAGCCTCACTCGTGAGGAAATGAAGAACGCTCTGATTTATCATCCCAACGAAGACCTCGCAATCGACCCCACTGAGTGTGAATCTGCTGTACCATTTGTCAAGAAAGACGCCCGAAAAACTTTAGTCTACACCAACATACACGATGAACCCATACTCCAGTATTATCACCATTCAACATTACCTGCAGTACCCAGTGAGTTGAATGCTGAAATCCAAGGAATCAAGAATCTTAAGCTTCTGCAACCAGAAGTTCTTTCATTAGTTGCCGTAAACAACTATGAAAAACCGGAAATCTTCTCAAGAAGAACGAATCTTGAATTCGTGAAACGGAGAAGATGGTCTGAGGAGCCAAAACAGTCTCAGGAAGTAGCAAGAGGTCCCACCTACTTCAGAGACAACCGAAACTTCATTTCATCGTGTTCAAGTGTATCCCTAGTCAGTGAAATCAAATCTGAACAGCATAAAAGGACCGAGGATGGCCCTATCAACTTGAAGATTACTCCTGGACATTCAGTAAATGTCCATGATTCTGAGGTCAACGACGTTCCTCTTGATCTCACCAAGAAATCCATGAGCAACGACATCAAGCAGCTTGGCCTATCTACACTCTCCGTTAGTAATTCTGTGGACATTCCCAGTGCCAATTTTCCATTGAATGGAGATCTTATCAATACCACACACGCAAGATATCCACAAAATTTCTTAGGAAGCCTTCAGCCGAGTGCTTGTTCGATGTATAGTGGTTTTGATACCATCTCATTGAAGTATGGTCGAATTTTACCTGATTACCAAAATCCACATTTAATGCGTATAAATTCTGCCGCGAGGAATAGAGTTCAGACGGAATTTGTACCAAATTTGAAAAAAATTAATGGTAATGGGCGTAGCGAACCATCTGAAATTACATCAAACATATTTCAAGTTCAAGATTTATTAGCTGGACCAAATGCTAATCGAAATAATGACTCCAACCCGATTTTTTCACCATCGTCTAATAACTTCGTGGAACCGGAAGAAGATCGAGAAAATTCCATTACGCCGAAATCATTAAAAAAGGCTGCCAAGAATCGAGTTCTCACACAGAAACGCAAACAAGCTAGGTACCGAATCGAGAAACCTTTTGAGTGTGAGTATTGTTCAGTGAGATTCACCCTTAAAAACAATATGGACAGGCACATTAAGCATCAGCATCCTGAATACAGGAATAAAGGATCACGAAAAAGTCATTCCACAAGAGGTCCGTCTAAGACACGACATCACGATGATATAAAATCCGAGACTAACTTGTGCCTTAGCATTTAATGTAATATTAAAATTCAATGATGTATACTGGGTGATCTGAGAATAACAACAGTGGTCATCCTGATTTGACGACACCTGCGGATAGATACGAACTATATACGTATAAACAATTGACTATACAATACGTAGGAACAGAAATTTGTGTTCATTAAAGTGCGAGTGTTGTGCATGTGACATGTAAACGTGTAAAGTATGTAAATAAACGTTTACTGCAAATATTAAGAATGTATTTATAGTAATAAATAAAACTGTATAAAATACGAAATATCAGTCGTGGATAAAATTTGTGGCAATGCGCTAGCAAAGACATGATTTTGGCTAACATATTGACAATTGAATTTGTATGTCTATTGTTAAGAATAAGGTAGGGTATGATTTAAAACTCAATGGATTTTTTTTACGACTCCTTGATATTACATATATCTTTGATATCAAGAAGACTTTGCTGACAATTTCTTATTTTCCATTTTTCAATAAAAGTTTACGACACTAATGTTAAGAAAACTCATTTACTGTTCAATTAGGTATTATCAAATTTAACGTATAAGTTATAAAGGTGTCAGTGACAAAAAGACTTTAAAGCCTAGTTATATAGAAATTAATGAAACTGTTAGCAGCACAATAATTTTATTGAATTATTTTTCGATTATCACGATTCATTCATTATTATTATTAGCTAGATTAGTTTCATTTTCAGAGATTTTTTAAGTTACTGGCATTGAAATTTTTCTATATTATGAATCTGATTTTGTGGCCCGACCGTATATTATAAGAAACAATATTAAAGTGTCAGAATGTCGGAAGCTCTCGTATCAAGAAGATGTTCCATTGCGTTTACATCCTTGCACCAGCCTTCTAATCTCTGTACCATTCTGGCGATTTGACTGCGATCCAGTACTCGTGGTTGCACCCACGTCATGTTGACAGTGCCAGCAACTTGATCGATTGCTCCACGAACGAGTCCTTGTGCCAGTGCTTTCATCACAAGCAGTTCAACTTCACCAATTGGCAAACGTGTTTCTTGTGAAATTTCCGCAAAGGTCAATTGGCTGTATAGAAATAAGCAATATATTATTGAGGATTCAAAGTAAATATAAAAAAGATAATCATGAATACATATCAAGTTGATTGAAAACTTATAAATTATTTACCGATGGTTGGCTTGTCGCTTGAAAGTCATTTCCATGAGGCACAGTAGGGATATTTTTTGCCTTAACTTTAATTCTTGAGCGACCAAGTCGGCGACCTTACTCCATTGTGGTTTTAATTTCTCAAATGCTGCTATATTACCAGAATTAAATGCCTGAAGCAGATCCACCAACCAGCCATTAGCTGTGCCCTTCAATGATTCTAGCACTGGATGAGCTAATAGCTCTCCGAGATTGTAGATACCTTCACCAAGAAGAGCTGCTAGTCCCAGGAAAAATGCATGCTGTTCTTGTTCCGATCTACTTAGGGTATTCAGCTGAATACATCCGAGATACCTACAACACAAAATAGCAATATTATTTATATAACATACAAAATGGTATTAATGATAAAAGTTGTACTAAATGCTACGAACCTTAGAGCAGTACGGTAATATTCGGCATGTTTGCCTTGTAGTCTATAAAGACGACTGGCCAGAAGATAAAATCTACCATGTACTGTGGTAATGCCATCCGCATTGTCAAGCATCACCTCAACATCTTCGATGATCTTCTTGGCTCTGTCTTGATCATTGAGTTTATCGAGCAAAATTTGCCCTGCAAACACTTTGCACAGAGCCACTGCTTCATTATTGTTTTTCACCTTAGATTCAGTTTTTTCCAGGAATTTAACTGCTTCTTCATTATCTTGAAATTGCTGTATAACGTGTGCCAGTATTTCAACTAACGACAGTGGGTTTATCCTGCATATCACAACAGCATGACAAGAATAATATAAAAATGGCGCGAAGAACAACACATGCTCCAAAGTACGAAAATATATGCTTATAATACTTGATTGTTAAATAAAACAAAAATTGTATACTCACTTATTTTCGAAAGTCGACAAAAAATTGTTATACAGTTGAACAAGATTATCTCCTTTTTGCAAAGTAGGATGCTTCACAAAAGTTTCTAATTTAAGTGTCAGCTGATGCCAAAGCCTGCAAGTCACCGGGATCAAAGAAACGTGGACCTCGTTCTTTACACTTTTGGTATTAGTATAAAATTAAGAAATTTTATCTTACTTTTTGTTATATAGTTCCTCCAACTGAGCCCAGTCCGCAGCCAGTTCTGCGTCTACCACATTTTGCATTTGGCTCAAATATGAGCTAACATCCTTAGGAACACTGGAGGTTGTCATATTACAACAATGATCAGGAATATGTCAAAGCAAGAACAATATGAGAGTTGCCCATGAGTTGCCTATACTAGCGCAAGCGCAATCTTCCAATAAGCAGACAGTAATACGCCAGTAAACGTTGGATAAAAAGTGCTAGAAAAAGATACTACTCAGTTTATAACAGCGCAAGCGCGCGTTCGACATTTACTAAAGCATGGGGTGTAAGCAGTGTAAGTAAACAATTGTTTTCTATTGCGACAAGTTTGTATTGAGACAAATAAAGTATGTGGGTGTACAAATTTCTCACTCTTAATTCTTATTCTTAATCATATCTCGTATGTGTTAGATTAGGTTATTAACTGAAAAAGTCGTTTGGAGGATGCGAACTATTTTATGTTAAATAACCTACAGTGAGTTCTACATATCTTACTATAAATAATAAAAATGAATGAGACAAGTATAAAGCGCCCTAAGCCTGGGGAAGGTGAAGAAGAATTATTTCATATGCAAGAAGACTTTCTAAAGTCGAAAGAACAACCATCAGCAAAAGTTATTAAATTACATACTCAGAATACAAACGAGAAAAATCTTGCTGCACAAGACAATAAATCCAGACAAAGATTATCAAAATATGAACGTAGGAAACGTAGGGGTCAAGAAAACAAACTTTCAACATCTCACACTGGTGGAGATATGTTGCATCCTACCGTTTCAAAAGTAGTTACACATGGAGATGTTATAGAGAGATCTTTTGATCCTGTTAAAAATATTTCTGCAAAACCCTCCAGCATATTGCTTGGAAATATTATAGAAAAAATATATATAGGAGAGAAATTTGAGTTTAATCCCATAAGTGGATTGTCGTCAGATACTATGGAGATGGGTTTTCCAAAAACTTTTGCATTGGAAAACAAGGTATTTAAAAAATAGTTTATTGATACTGATTTAAGTAAAATTTATATTGTAGTAATATATTAAAATAACGATATCTTATATTCTTAGGTAACTGATGGATCAAAAAGTTTGTTCTTACAAAAATTCTTACAAAAGAATACTATGGTAAATAAATCAAATGAAACTAATAGTAATTCTTTGTCGAATGAGAATGGCAGTATTTTGATTGATGGTCCTTGGGCATCTGAAATTCACAAAGCCAATGTTGAAAAATTACGTGAAATGAGCAAAGAAGAAATTTTAAAAGAAAAGCAAAGATTAGAGGCCACTTTAAGTCCTGATATACTAGCATTTCTTAAAACAAGAAAAAAAACAAAGGAGCAGTTAAAATCTAAAAATAATTTCTCAGCAACTGAAGCCCCAATTGGGTTAGATATCCTTACGTCTACCAAGATCAATGAAAAGGACAATAATGTTCAAAGTAGTACTGAACTGCATTGTACAACAAATGACAATACTTCTGATACTGATGTAGTAATGAAGTCTGAAACTGAATCAACTAAATTAGGCAAGCCATTATTGGAAATACTTGATCAGGCTAAACAAAAGGGTTGGGTACATATGGATCTCTTAGAAACAGAAAAATTCAAGTGGATGGAAGAAATACCTGTAGGGGAGAATGACAGTTCATCATCAGAGGAATATTATAATGCACGCTTTGACTTTAATGGTAAACAGACAAAACAATTATTTAATAAATAATATTGAACCAGACCTGCGTGACATTTCTCACGATTTCTCGATATTTTAGGTGTTTTACTTCCATACAAAGATGAAAATTTAACAGTAAACCAAGGACTCCATCATCATGGAGAAGAACCTGATCGTCCTGGCTATACTCTTCAAGAGTTATTGCAGCTCAGCCGATCTGCTACACAACAACAACGTTGTACTGCATTAAGTACATTAGGAAACATTATGGAAAAAAGTCGTCGAGGCTGGTACGACAAGGTCTTGTACCCAGCGCCTTTGAGTGCTTTGAGTCAGAAGAATATTCTGCTTCTATTAAGATTTTCACTCGACGATACATCAGTTGCTGTAGTTACAGCAACATTGCAAGCACTCAGAGCATTCTTATTTAGTGAGGCAGATGAAGTATGTTTGGACAGACTTCTAGGATGGGGAATTTACTCAGAGCCCACACTCACGCCTTCCTCAGAAGATGTCAATGATACGAGTAATTTAAAGGATCATGAACTAGCACAACTGGACACAGTTGCTGCAGCTTTAAGATCCGACATAGTTTTGCGAATTCGGTAAATGTCAATATTTTTATCATCATTTTAATTACATACAATGAGCTAGAATCAATAAAAAATGTCCTATCTCAATACTAATTTTATCCATATTTATGTTTCTAGGTATATTCTGAGTCAAATGCAACCACCACCAGTTGGCGTAACAAGTGCATTAGAAATATTAATTCGACTTGCGAGACATTCACGAAAAAGTGCACTTGATATTGCGACCACTCCATACTTGTTAGATATTATCACTAAATATTTTATACCGTTGACTATCGATAAGATGGGTAAGCATTACAGAGTACCAAATACTTATTGTTGTATCTTACATTACAAAGACTTACAATACATTTCTGGTTCCCTTACATATAATTGAAGCAATCAAAAATGTGATCACCAATGCATATGGAGTTCCAGTCGTTGCAGCAATAAAATTATGTCGTGTTTTGATCTGTTATGGCAGAAAACCAGTAGCCGACAGGCTAGAAAACTTGAACATCATTCATTCTATCCTCTCTTACGTAAATAATGATTCTGGGTATGTGTTTTGTGTATTATTACAAATCTGAAGATTTCATACTAATCGATTAACAATTCCCCTTTCAAGGAAATATGGAATTCATCTGTGCATCGAGAGCTTGCGACTTTGGAAATTTTTATTAATATATGGTGCTGCTTCTGAAAGTATCTCTGGAGCCCAATTAATATTAGTATCTCAATTGCGCCTATTACTAAGTAATCACGACCTTGGCCAATCTTCAGAATTAGCATGTGAACATGCAGCAGCACTTGTAGCTGTTACTGGTTATGAACCATCTCTAAGATCAAATATCGTAACATTGTTATCAAAATGGAGTACGCAATTAGCATCAATTTCGTCGCCTACAGTGAGTTGATTAGAGTAGAAAAAAAACCTTTTGTAACCTTCAGTATAATAAAAGTTTTTATTTTACAGTGGACTATGACGAAGTTAGTGTCAAAAACATTAATAGCTGTTGGCGAGACATCTGCGATGAATTCATCATGGATTTCCAATATCAAAATATATTACAACATATGGTAAGTCATTATTCATCTTTAAGTTTTAATAATGCGACACATGTAATTCCTATTTTATATTTCAATATTTTGTCCATTCAGCTCGTCGTCGAATTTGCTGAGTGATTGTGTCAATAATATTGAACGAGATCCATCCTCGCTTCCTAGTCTTGGTGTATTAACACAAGATGGACAACTACAACCTATTGTATCACAAAATTCTTGTATACCATTCTTGGGAACGATGCTAAATGCTTTTTGTAAATCACTATGCAAAAAAGAGATTCTAGAAATTTTCAAACACAGTCAGTTCAATAGGTATATCCGCAAACTCGAAGAAAAAGAATGGTGTTTAGAGAGATCTTGGTACACTCGTGTAGAATTTTTACTGGTATCAGCGATAGTACGATGTGGTAATTTATTACGTGAAGATTTGAATACTGAAACTAGGCATATTCTTTGGAAAATATCTTTGAAGCTGATATCAGCATTACCCGGTGACGCTCGTCATGATATTCGAGAAATGCTCACTACAGCTTTATCAAGTGAAAAACTCAAAATTGAAGTTTTATTAAACGATTTGAACAATCTTCATTTAGATAGCGATGGTAGTCGCGTGGAATTGGAATTACCTAATAATTTGGCTGTACTATACGAAGCGTATAACACTGGTAATGGTAATTGGGATCAAGCAGCTATGCCTAGGGACTGGTTATATTTACCACTAGTTAATTTGTATACAAAAAGCACACATGGTGTCGAATATAACCAAGGGGATGAAAAGGTAGTTGCTATCGTATTAAGCTTGGAATTGACTTTATCAGATTTAGTACAGAAACTGTCACCGAATTTGAGATTTAGCAGATTGTTACTTGTATACCTATGTGATACATTGTTCCTGAACAAAAACGTATCCGTTTTATTAATCAATGCGTTGACTAAATTTTTAAAATGCAACTATCGTAATTTGGACTTCACACTGGAAGTGCCGGGTCTCAGTTCTTTCATAGATTTGTTTACTGCCCTTTGTGAACATTTCGGTGCGTCTTCTTACGGTAATCATGGATTCGCCATGGCTTTGCTAGTACCGATTGCGCAGCGACACGATGTCCATTATAGAAAATTATTGTGGTCCGAACACGCAGGGGTTTTACGATATTTAAGCATTCCCATAGAGAAACTTGTTATTCCTCTAAGCGAATATTTATATCCGATAGAATCAGATGTCTCGATGATCGAAACTTACATTACTTTTCTTGTTAGAGGAATGATTAAAAAAGAATGGAGTCCTGTCGCATACGTCATTGCAATGCACCATACTGCTATGTATTTAAAAGGTACCAGTAAATTGGCTACCAGAATGAGAGAAAGCGTAGAAAAGATGAACAATATAAATTTGAGAAACGATTTGCTAAATTACGTTCCACCAGAAACATGAGCAATGTAACTGAAATCGTACCTAGTACTATTTCCTATTTTAAACACCACGGTATATTTACATGACATAATTGTATATGATGTGCGAAGGAAACTGCAAAAAATCTCGTTAGTTATCGATTTTATTTTCCGTTCATTTATAATATGCGGATTTAGTTAGCCATTATTATACCTATATAAGAGTGTAGATGTAAAACTTTTCAAATGAAATAGATAATAGGAACGATATAAATGTTCAATTATCAAGCGTAGAGGCATTATTTGGTCGTTTTTCTTTGGTATCCTGTAATGTACATAAGTATATGCATTTAATTGATTCTACAAGCTGGAGTGCTTAAGCTTTATAAAAAATCAGTGATATGCCTTAGTATAAATCCTAAAATCTTCTAGATCCATGTAAGTTGCATCATTGACGATTATATATTTATCAATATGCCCAATATTCTACGGAAATATATTTTTTGTATTTAAATGAAGATTCTGATGTGTAAATAATTTTTGTCTATAGCTAGAAGTAGTGTAATACTATGAAACAGTATACTTTTACTGATTCGATGCATTAATTTTTGTACTTTAACTCAAACAATTCCTTCTTACAATTTTAACAAAATCTATTTTCATATTGACACAGTCAAAATAACAATATACACCATTATAATCCTTTAAGTACTAATTTCCATGAAATGAAAGTAAAAAAAAAAGATAAAAATATAATTGAAGAAACGTTAACTATTTTCTAATTTTATTCTTTATATTAACTTTCGTATGTCATGTTTAATCTGAAAATTTATCTAATAATAAATGGACATTGATTCGTCACATAGATTGTCCAAGAATTTTTACTGCCAGCTTACGTCTCGTGATATGATCACTCAACTTGATTCGAAAGTATTTCAAAAGAATAAAACACCAAAATCATCTAGAAAAATGTATGTAAACGCATCCATTACAATCTAAAAATTATTACCCATTAAAATAATGGAGAAACCTGCAAAAATAAAAATATATCTGTCTACAAAACGAAATTGATACTGAAATTACAAAGTATCATGTAATGTAAACAATTTCTATGGGTAATATTAATGAAATTCACTTCGTTGTATATAACATCGTATTTAAAAACAATGCTTACGTATATACGTCATACTTCAAGGTAGTCCATTAATTAGTGTAAAAGAGCATCCCAATAGAAATTAAATTGTCCGACAAGCAGCTTCATTACGTAGAAAGGATTGCAATCCTCTGATTATCTTCAGTGCGTTCACAGAATACTTCTCTACCAGCTTTAAGTACAGCCGTTAAGTGTGAGCAATCGCGTAGCGAGGTTCTACCTTGAGAAATTTGCCATCATAACTAAGATTCTATGCCTAATTTTCTATAAGTTTCTCGATCTACCGTTACCAATCTTCCTTCTACACTGGAACAGTCCAGCTCTATGCAGTGTAATCGAGAGCCCCATTCACAGTGACTCTGGTCATCTGCACGGTAGTATTTGATCTGAAGGCAAGTGGCTAGGTAACCGGATCCCAGGACGCGCATTGCAATCTGCAACTCTTCTCGATGTCCACGTGCACTGGCTGGAATACCTTCTGTGCTGTGATAAGCACTGTAAGCACAAGCTGTACCGTCCCTGGCACGTTCAATCGCTTCTACTTGTTTTCCTCCAATAGTCAGTGATCTGCAATATCATAGAGTAAAAGATCAAGTTTTTTTTCTTAATAGAAAAACGATTGAAATTATGATAAATATTTTGCATAAAGTTTTGCTTTAACGATTGTGTACTAATTTTGTTGGAGAAATGGATCTATTATTTTTGTATCATTATCATCCAACCACGCTAAATGAATATGCATATTGGGTATGTCCATTCTTGAATAAATTTAATTTGCAATCCTGATGTTTATGTTTTATTTTAATTTATTTTAATTTATTTTGGTTTGGTCCAAAAACTTTCTTATAAATGTTTTTATTTATATTGGTCTGACGTTGTCGATTTCATGAGATACACAAGATAGCTTTTATAGTTCCTTTTCTATTATGACGAATAATCGATTATACATATAAGGATTCAAACGCAATCATAATATGCCATACATTGTATCAACACTTTATATTCATGAAGTCTAATTACTCTGAATTTGTCCGAAGGAAAATAGTTGATTGAAAATATTCGATTTGCTTCTCAGCAGTTATAATTAAGAATGTTTTTTCAAAATTTCATCCTAGATATTAATTGCTTCGCAAAAATTTTTTTTTTAATTACTATCAGTCTAAATAATATTTATTAGATGTAGAAAACTTATTAATATCGATCAACATCTTAATTATTCTATAAAAATTTTATTACGTCATAAAACTCTAAATTCGCTATTGAGAACATAAATATATGTTGAAAGCGCTATTAAAAATCTCATATAAAACATTTGTGTTTATCCTGTCATACACACTCGTGTTTGAAAATCCGATAAACACAGAAGAATGTTTCTTTCTGAATGTGTTGAATGTCAGATTAATGCCTTGGCACAAGCATCGCCAAGTCAGAAATAGAAGCCAAGAGTCAACACAGCGCTTTAATGTTGCGAACAATTTTCCCATTAAAATTCATATAAAGCTTCCGTAAAAAAAATTTTTTAATTTGCCTTATAATAAAATTATCACGTCACAAGACCTATCTACTAGTGTTTCTTCAATTTAAAAGTATATATATTTCCATACTTGATTGCGTATCGATCCAAGTAAATAAAAAATCTATCCCCATCGATTGATAACGAAATTGAAATTTTCCAAAGGTCATGACTTATTCTCTTGAACGTATTTCAATGTAGTACAGAGTTACTTTTATTTTTCTATCTATTGCAGCGTTTCTATCCTATTAATAATAAAACAAGTACTGTGTAATTCAGCGTGACTAGGCCAAACTCGAAAGAAATTAGCCTGGGAATGACGTATAATGTTGAACGGAGAATCGATATCGTAGTTTGTAGAAAATGCAGCAGAGTCCGATACACTAAGGAGCAATGACGACCCGAGCTCTCGGCGAGTCAGCATAATATTTTTTTTGTCTCCTAGTAGCTCAAGTGGCCTAGTCGTACTTCAATTATACCAGAGTGACTACGATACAACAACGAAAAAGCCCTTATTGTTAGAAATCCAGAAGTACAAAGGATCTTGACTTCTAAAGTTTCGAAGCAAAGCGCACAGGATGAAGAAGGCACCTTTTTTACAAAATGATAATATCCGTAACAACGAAATACTTTTTTTCTTTTCATTCCATTACGTCGATCTGTTCTATAATTGAGATAACATTACTTCGCAAATGTATAGGAATGAGACTAATGTAGCATGCTCACGAGACCAGTCTCTTTGGAG